TCTGCCTATTACACCCCTTCGCTCTAGTAATCGCTCCGTATACTACGCTTCTAATCCAGCGTATTGAACTCGTTTATTCCACTTGCTCCCTAACTCTAAGAGCAACTCCTCTTTTTAGAATTGTTGAAGAAACTACTAACTCTAACTATCTAACTGCACTGATCGGGGTCGATCTCACTGACCCCTTGCTTCACCACGCCCAAGCCGGAAGCTTAGGAGAGCAGAATAAGGTGAAGGTGGATACCCCTCATCCAGAGCTTGGTTAAGTGTCCAAGACCGTATGCCTTGCTGGTTGGATCTGAATTTGCTCTATAGTTATCTAATCTCTTTCTTTTTCCTACCTCCCCTACGAAGGGAAGTACAAAGGAAGATGCTTCGAAGTTGAAGGGACTCGTCCATTCACTATATGTCTGTAATTTCATACATAAAGAGGAAGATTAAAAACTCATCAATCTCCTTACCGCTCCGTGGGGGTCTTCATTCACTCTTCTCTTACTTTCCCTACTTCTAGAAAAAAAAATGTTGAACAAAAACGATCTTTCTAAAGTTAAGGCAGCAGATCGGTCGGCTACGGGACGGGGCCGAGAGCAGCAGTAGGAGAAGCGATAAGCCCTTCAATCTACTCCTCAAAGCAGGAATGGAGGGCCGCTTTCTTAATAATTCAAATAGATAGTTCTGCTCACATCAAGGGAACCTCTTCATTAACTGAGAAGCTCATTGGCTCGCCTTTGACTCTAGCCTCTCATTTAATTCGCTACTTCGTCAACTTCTCAGTCCCTCGTGAGTGTGGCACGCACCTCTACATCTTTTCCTATCTATAGTTAGGGGACTGCTGCTCATAACTACTAGCTATCCATCTAGCCCACGATAGCGAAGGCTCAAAAAAAGATTGAATGAGGTCATTAACATTGAATCATCATAAGGAAGTCAAGTAGTCCGTGACTGATTAGCCGACGCTTCTGCCTTTCCAATTTCCACGAGTCAAAAAATGTAACGATAGCTAATAGAACTAGAGAGCTAGGGCGAAATAATTGTAGCGAGTAAAGAACAATTTCACTTGGGTGTTTGTAGTAGAGGACAACCAATCCTCTAACTACAAGCTACCCTCCTGGCCACCCTCCCATTTCCGAAATTTTACCAAGAGGGACTATGTGCTCAGATGCACCTAAATTCTGATGACCTGCGTCCTTTCACCAGTAATGGTTAATTGACTGGTGCCATCATGACATCACCCTCATTATCTCCGGAAGAGTTTGGATAAGGACATAACAACCACCTTGGTGTAGTTGAGATATCCCATCCTTCACCCATGTCGTAGCATTTCCAGATTAGTCCAAATTTGATCAAATTCTGATCTTCATTTGTTCTTCTCCAGGATTTACTACACATAGGAACTTCCATCAATTGACTGATAGTAACCTCTTCTGACAGCGCAGTAATATGGTACCAGGAAAACCATCGCAGCCACTGTTCCATCCATTGACGTACAACAGTGCGTTCAAGTATCTCCCGCTCACCATCAAACACCAACCCTTCAGGGAAGAGTTGTAACTCCTTAGGTTTTAATTCCTTTCGGAGAAAATCTATTATCTTTCCCTTCAAATAAGGATTGAGGGGCGAGGGCGCCGCCTTCCAATCCAATATTCTAGAGGTAATAGATGTGACTTACCTGGCTTTGAGCAAGCCGCTTTCAATCGTTCCCATCGTTTTGACTGGGTAGAATGAATGCGAGAACGAACACGGAAGCCCGCACCCCCCAACCTTTGTAAAATTGATATATTAATATCATATTTGGTTGCAAGGGTACAAAGACCTACGGTTGTCCTACAAGACAACAACGCTCTAAGAGATATTGGAGAAAGATCAATTTGCATATATTTCATCCAATACCTTTTAGCAAACTCGATGGTACCATTTTAAGATATAATCAATTTTTATTCTGAAATGGTAACACCGAGCTGATCCAGTAATTGTCTGTACTACTCTGCCACTTTTACGTCGGTGATTAGGATATCATCACCTAGTAAAGTGTAGTCAGTAAAAGGAGTCATATTCCTCGGATATGCTCTTTTTGCTGCCAACCATACAATATAATGGTGTGATAATGCAAACAATGACCAAGATCCGTAGTAACCCAAGGGCTGTCCAGTCAGAAAGGCAACCTCACTCGTTCTTGCCTTAATCATGGGAGGTAAGACAAGAAATGTGTTAAGGCCCAACGAGCTGTTAACTATTGAAGATGCTAAAGTACTCCTGAATATACAAGGCATAAGGGAGTATATAACACTCAATGGCCAACGGTCTGTTGCTGATTTTAAGTCAAAGGAAAATGTTTGACGTTTTCTCTTTGATTTAAATCTCAACAACGGACGCTCTTGGTCGAAAGTTCCATCAGTTGGAATACTGGATAGAACCTTCATTGCCCACTTGTGGACAGGAAACAGTAATCTTTGCTTAATATAGTTGCAAATTGCAAAGATACGTCTGTTACCACCGCCCTCAATCACCTGAGCTAACCGACCAGTTGCTAACGGAACCCCTGTGTAAGCCCCTAGTAACGTACTAAAATAGGGACCCATAGCAGATTCAAAATAATTGAACATTTCGTTAGCAAACCGGGTATTATTACGGTCAAAAGGGTAATATACCATTTTAGACCATAAAATACCAGGTGAAAAGAAACCATCTGGAATTGAATGAATTTTTTGAATATTCCAGATAAAAGCTGCAATTTCATGTTTCAGGTTCACAAAGATATTATGATCCTTAGCATACTTTGCAGCCTCCTTATCGACTGTATCGTCCACTTTTAAGTCAAAACTACGGACGAAATTGTCTAATAAGGGGGTACTTTTCCAAGTTGATTCTCTAAAAGAGGTTTTAATCTCATCTAGGACTTACAAAACTCTCCCAATATCAGGGTGAGGAGAAGCCATAGAAGAAAAGGTTGCCTTAGTCACTTTCTTGGCAACCAATATCAACTTAGCTAAACCAAACCAAGATAGGTAAAGTTTAACCAATTGATCACCTTGATCATACTTCGCTCTTACGTGTTTTCGTAATACAACGGGTATGATCTTGGGAATACCACACCTGGTCAGAGATACTGGAACAGAAAGTAAATCACCTTTATGGTGATTACCAGCATAGTACCGCTGTAAGGATACTGCACATTGCTTTAAATATAAGGCAGTGTACAAGAATCCAGATTTCTGTTTTAAGTATCTGACTTGCTTAACAAAGGAACATCCCGCAAGGGCAATCTCTTTGGACATGGACGCAGTGGCGACTAGAGGAACTAGAAAGAGAAGTCCCTTTAATCGTCGGGCATGTTCAAACATGCCCCGCCAGGAAAACTTAGGAGATCTTTCGATCGCACAAAATAATTTTCATAAAGTCATAATAATATGTTTTGTGTGTTTCGATGATCCCACTAAGGCTTTCCACTCTCCCTGTCGGACCAAACGAATCGGTCTCAGGGGGGGCGCCTGGGTTCCAACCAGGGGTTCTATTCCTTTAAAGATTATCTTTTCCATTAGCCGAAGCTTCTGGGAAGGATAACCGATATCGGGATAGAACTAGAGATTATAACAAGATATTAGTTCTTGACCAATAGTGAAGTAGCCTTTAACAGCTACAACACAATTGACCTTCGAACACAACCCTTGTTAGTGCTCCATTCGACATCCTTAGAGTTAACAAAACAACCAAATTACCCTTATTATTCAAATAAAATCAATCTGTGTGCTCGGAAAATCTTAATTGGAAAGTTGGAAGACTTTCCAACAGGGACTGATAATCCTGGATGATGCCAAAAAAAATAAATGATTTCACTTTCAAATAAAATAGTACGAGTTGTAAAAGCGTAAGAGCTATATAGAACCACCTTTGGCCGGCCTCACATCTTCCCATCCTCTACTTAGTTGTCTCAATTACATCGATCCTGAACTACGTCCAGCCAAGTATTCTTGCCCTTACCCTTTCGGTCGAGCACAACCTCCCGAGCGCTAGGTTCAAGCAACTTCATACCACTTCGTCCCTTTCACTCTTCAACCTGATCTCTACATTCATAGCTTGAAAAAGCAAAAGAGGGTCACCTCTCTTAATGACTATTCTTAAGCTTCCTTTCTTTGGGAGTAGGATCTCTTTCCTAGGAGCTCATAGAAAGATAGCGAAGTCAGATAGTTCTTTCTTGCTTTCCTTCTATCTTTCTTTCTATTTCAAAGTGGTTCAGATCACTGCTTACTTACTTGACTTGCCCCCTTTTTTTTAAGCAAGGAGGAAGTCGTGCAAACAAGCGAAGTGGAATCTATTAGAATAAAAAATAGTGCAGCTCGATCAGTATAAGAATAAAGCCAGGAGGTTGGCAGGAAAGGTGACTTTCTTTTCCTTTTCGACTTCTTCCTTTAGAACTTCCTGTAAATTGGAAGGGTAGGCCTTTGGCACCAGAAAGGTGAGGATCGAAATTAGGAGAGTGAAGAGAGGAAGGAACCCTCTTTTTAAGTCCTACATACTGCTCTTCTCTCAATCGCTCTTTGGTATTCGGAAGTGGAAAGCGAACTGTTGGCTATGGCCAAAAAGAGAGGTTCTGTCTTTCTTCATCCAAGTAAGAAAAAGATGGGACGCTCGCAGACCGGAAGGAAGAGAATTATTAGAACTCTCGTCCGCCCCTCTCCTTACAGTCAAATGGCTGAACGCCCCTCTCTTTACCATCTGTAGCTGAACTTTCTTACTTATGCGATGAGGAGCTTACTTAGTATTGAAATCGAGTTGGCAGAAAGCACCGAAAGTCGGCCGCCCGCCCTATCATCCCGTGTCTCAACCAACTTTTTTCTTGTCTCCAAATCTCTCTTTTGGCTTTTGAAACTTCGATTCGTGACAGCTACTCATACGTGCCAAAGAGGCTTCCTTCCCGCCTTGACCCAGCTAAAGGTAAAGGTAGGGATTAGGCGGCGAAGAAGAGACGGAGGAGCTTCCTCCCCCATTGACGGCTCACGAATATGAGTCCCACGTTTAGGAGAAGAACTGAGATAGGCTGCTTTAGCTCTGTCTCTATCCGAGGAAAGAGTGTACCGAATCCGCCTCCTGGCATTATTGGGTTCGCTTGCAAACAACACTTCTCCTCTCGCCCACCGAAAGGAAAGGGTAATGGTTATACACCTCTTACCACATTCACTACAGGGCGCCAACCCTCACTATCAGTCAGTTTTCCCACGTCTGTTAGACTTTCTTTCAAAAACCTTGACTAATAGAATAGTGAAATTAGAATAGGCTGAGAAAAGGGCTAAGAGAGAAGCTTAGGATATTACTTAAGTAAAGGGGCGTAGCAGTTCTTCTTTCAAGCTCAAAATAGGCCGTCTATTGCTATATCTCCTTCCTGATCCCCCCCGGGAATCACATCACTTTTGACATAGCACCCCAAGAGAACCTTTTAAAGAACTATTAGTACCCTTTACTTAAGAGATTACTTTCTTAGTAGTTGCTAAAGGCTTCTTTCTTCTATATCAGGAATATAGGTCAAAAGTGATCTTCAACTTGACTTTATCTTCAACAATAAGTTATAATTATTTAGATAAATAAAAGAAAATGAAAAGAAAGATATAAAGCAACGGAGCCGTCATAGTCTGTTTTAACTCCTCCGCAAGGAAGGAACGAGTCGCTTCCCCCTTTCCTTCACCACCAGCTGGAGCACAGTCTTCGCCGGTCTCAAGGTTATCAACAAGACAAGCCCAATAACGCGGCTACGAGCTCTTTCCTTACTCAGACCCCAAGCGGGCAGGGTGACAAGACTTTGATGCAGGGTTCGACATGGTCTTTGAGTACAAGCCTGGGAGGACCAATTTGCCGACGCACTAAGTCGAAGGGCCGAGTTGGCATCCAACAAGTTCGAATTAGAATAGATAGCATCCATGAGGGGCCGTCCCCGAACGCATAAGATAGAAAAAGGACCCCGTAGCCCAGACCCTGCTGAAAAACGTGAGCAACTTCAGTTAGAAGTTCCGCTCGAGTGGAATGGTTGTTGGTACTCTCTTTCATATCCTCCTCCTGTTGGTGACTGACCTCTTCCTTTCTATTTAGAAAGTGGAACAGAACTAGCAGCGGATAGGCATTCAGTTAGCTTGAAAACGGACTCGTAGTTAGAAATCGCTTCCTCAACAACTATCTTTAGAATGTCCTATCTCTCTCTTCAACGCTTTAAAACGAGCTAGAAGGCTTCTCTTAAAGCAGAAAAATAGGAGTTATAGTAGTTTCAGCTATTCGATTCGAATGAGTGCCCTCACTTCCTTTCCTTACTACGATATGCCCCAAAAAAAGAAAAAGAAAGTGCAACATATCAAAGAGCGATGACACTAATTATCAGTGACCTCCTACATAACATATGCGAGCCTTACGTGGACGATTTGGTAGTCTTTTCAAAAGAAAGAACCGACCACATCGAAAATTTACGCAAGGTCTTCGAAAGGTTAAGAAAACATCAATTGAAGATGAACCCGAAAAAATGTGCATTCGGGATCGGGCGGAGGCCTTAAATCAGTAGGGCAATAGCATAGCTATTATTGACCTGACCCCTATTCCATTACTTAAGCCTACTCTTTCTTTAAGATACGAAACGAGCAGCCGAAAATGGTACAGAAATTGACCTGACCCCTATTCCATTACTTAAGCCTACTCTTTCTTCAAGATACGAAACGAGCAGCCGAAAACGGCTGTCCCTATTGTATTTTAGATGGAGTCATCTACAGGGCTAAGAATCTTACCTTTACTTAGAGAGGGGTAGCGGTACCACGCTCTTCCGTGCTCGTAGGTTGACTCACCTATGCATCCCGACTAAGGTCTCACAAACGTGCACTTCCCTTATGCATCCAACCGCTTCACTAATGTGAATAGGTTATACAGAAGGGTAGATTGGTTATATACCCTTATGCGCCTTCCTTCTTCGAACCTTTTGGTATGTATTGCCCCCTAACTATAGATCAGATCCACCAGACAAGAAACTCAATTCCGCACTGCTGCTGAGTCGTCGGACTTATCCACCAAGGGATTCGTGGAATTTCTGTGGATTGCGTTGGGGGAAATCTACCAAAGCTAGGCAGATAGATAGACTCCTTTCCCGCTGCTAAGGGAGAGCAAGAAAGAAAATCAAATGATTGTTTTTTAACCAGCGCCCTCTTTTGGGTATGCAGGTACTAAGAGCCCTCTCACTACCAACCAGCGGACATCATCTGGCTGGGTCTTGCCGGTATCAACAACGAGGAAGAAACAACCAGAAACAGCAACTAACTATGGCTCTTGGCCCAGACAACGTCCTAGGCGTAGGGGAGATCGGAGCAACAGGGAACGCCTAGACGACGTTTTTCTTCCTGGGCTGCAGTAAGTAGATCGAGAGGTCGTTCCGCCCCTTGTCCCCGAATATGGGGAATATGTTCTCATAAAATCTTGCTCCAATCTGACCTAGCTGGCGAGCGATCCCAGTTCGCGACAGAGAACAAGACAGCAAGCGAGCGTACTTTTGTTCGCTTCTTCTCCACCAAGCACGGAAGTTTAAGGATAACTGTAGGTCGGTGGCTACCTAAGGAAACTCCGATTCGATCCGCCCCCCGGCTGGGAGGCATCTACCTCATCCCGATCACAAGGAGAGGTTCACTATGATGGGGGGTACTTTTTTTTCCCTTAAGGAAAAAATGAAATGCATAGGGGACCATCCTTTTGTTGCGGCATGCTCCTCAGATTTACGGATTCGCAGGGGGCCTCAGGCCCTACTTAGTTGACTGATAATGACAAAGGCTTGCGAAACTAAGTAGGGCCTTTTCCTTTTTGTTTGAATAACCCATTCTCATTATCTTTAATAAGTAAAGTAGGCAAACCTATAGGTCCTTAGTAGCGTTGACAAAGAAGAAGGAGCCGGTTAAAAGAAAGCGAATCTTTCCATTTTTCTTATAGTTTCTATTATATAATAATAGAAAATAGAAAGAAATTTCTTATTCTTATATATAGGCCAGCTTGACAAGCAACCCTTCCTCTTGATCTGAGGTGCGAAGAGAAAGATTTCTTTTTTATGACTTCCACTTATCGATCCCGGCCCAGAAAAGTGACCGACCAGGGCAGGGCCCTTTTGATAAATGAAAGAAAGGGTTTATAAGCCTTAGCCCTGGAAGCCCACACCTGTGTAGAGTAGATTGTTCAACACCTGCGGCACAAACCCATTTTGAACCTATTGGTCCTAGTATCATAGGCGACCGAACGGCCGCCCCCTAATTACTAGACCAACCTGCTATAATAATTCCATAAACACCTAGCGAAGATATGGCAAACAAATAAAGTAGTCCTATGTTCGGATCTGACAATACCATACCATAATCAAAAGGTACAACGGCCCGAGCGACCAGACTTAACATAAATGTAGCCACTGGAGCCATTCTAAAAAGGGAGAAATTAGCACTACTTGGTGAAATAGGTTCTTTTTAGAATCAATTTCAAACCATCTGCTAGAGGTTGCAACAATCCAAATGATCCCACTACATCAGGACCCTTTCGACGTTGCACAAAAGCCATTACTTTACGTTCATCTAGCACTAAAAAGGCTACTCCTAGTAAAAGTGGTAGAATTATTCCAAGTATTTCAGCTGGAACAGCTATGTACATTTTTTTTTCATTCACTCATGATCTGGCCTGGTCGACCCAATCATGATATTGATGGAGGGGACGTTTTCTCGAAAAAAAATAATTCTTGCAACTACGAAAACCACAACACAAGCACTCCTTTTCCATTCATTCTATCTAAGAAAAGATTTAGCATAGACCACGACCCCCCATCTTTCATTCTTATCTATATGAAACCAAAATGGGCGAGTCTTTATTATTGATTGGGGCCCTGAACTCAATGAGAGTGGGGATTCGCTCCTCTTCGGGCAACTCGTCCACGTATGTAAGATACCTGATTATGTACATTTTTTTTTCTATTCACTCATGATCTGGCCTGGTCGACCCAATCATGATATTGAAGGAGGGGACCTTTTCTCGAAAAAAAAAATTCTTGCAACTACGAAAACCACAACACAAGCACTCCTTTTCCATTCATTCTATCTAAGAAAAAGAATTTAGCATAGACCACGACCCCCCCATCTTTTCATTTCTTTATCTATATGAAACCAAATGGGCGAGTCTTTATTATTGATTGGGGCCCTGAACTCAATGAGAGTGGGGATTCGCTCCTCTTCGGGCAACTCGTCCACGTCTGCAAGATACCTGACGGCGTCTACGAATTTATCGAGCGTGAGCTCGCCCTGCGCTCCTGCCTGACGGACAACAAGTTCTTTTGCCTTCCCACAGATTTCTTGCAAGAGCCTGCCACACTGGGCGGCCTTCTCTTCAGTCTCCCGATGCAATTGGGCTATTTCCGCAGGAGAAAGGCCTACTGGAATCTCGTTGAGGTCTGGAAGCGCAGGTGCAGGATCCGCGCAAAAGGCTATTGAAGGGGTGGCGAATGCTGGAAAAGCTGATTTTTAGTTTTTTATGCTTTGAAAGACTTTTAAATTAATGTAATGCTTTATTGAGTTTTGATTTTGCTAGATTATGGTAGTATAGGGTCCGTGTCAAAAAAGATTCAAGAATATGTCAAACGAAAGTCTTAATGCTTGCTACATGTGCAGGAAAGAAAGAGAAATTTGGAAAATTATAAGTGTCGGAGCTTCTATAGTTCCCATAGACGAGTCGTCATTCAGTCGACATACCATAAATGGCATCCGTAGAATCTAAGGTATAAACATAGTTTCCAATTTAAGTCTACAGTTTCGCAATATAAACCGTTGTACATTCAACGGTCCGTAGTTTTCAATCGTAGACCCAAAATACATTATTAAATTTTATTAAGTATAGAGGAAAATGATGGACCTATCTAAGGACCGTAATTCTTGCTACGTACCATCGACGGGATATCGTAAGTCCTATTAGTAAAAATGAATCGACTTGACCTGCTACCTAAATAAAATAAAAGCATTCATTTTAAATTCATTTCCCATTTTACCTCCTCCCAACCATTACAACTCTTCAGAATCAGTTACCTCTTTATCATCCCACCATTTCACTTCCATTTCCAACCCTTCAATCCCCCATAATCTATTAATATAATCCTCCCTTCCTCATGTTCCCCATTTATTCTTAATTTCTAAAAATTCACCCACAATTTTTCGTCTTCTCAAATCAAAGAACATAGGGTCGAATACTCACAAGTTGGTTATTGAGGTTAAGCGCACACACTCACACTACTTCGAGTTTCTTCTGAAATGTACTCATTTTGAACCAAAGTACTTAAATTTTTGGTTGAAATTAAAAGTTTTTACTTGACCTTGGGTATTAATTGCTTGTTGAAGTTGATCATATTAGTTTTAATGTACTCTTGAGATGACCGTATTATGAGTGTCGTCAATTTTTGGTGTAATAATTTGGATAAAAGCATCTTGTTGTGTTCCTGACTTAGGGTTTTTCTCTTTTACTATTTGTTGTGTATTTAAATGCATTGTTAAAACCCTAGGGATGAAGGAATAACATTAAAATATGTTGAAATGCAGGTTCTAGAAATGATTTAATAATCTAAATGATGCAATAGAGATAACGAATGAAATGGGCCTGAACTTTTAAAAAATTGAAAGTGACGACTTAATCTAAGGGTCATAGGGTGACCCACGAACCGTAGTTATGCTTCAAGCACTCTGAGGCACAAAACAATAGCCTATGTTTTTCTATGTCTGATTGATGTATGGACCGTAGGTCTATTGATGGGCCATTCAACACATATTGATTTACAGACCGTAGGTCCATTGATAGACCATCATGTTGAACCGTTGTTCCAACTTCAGAAACTAAAATATGGACTTCCTTTCATATGGGTGGGACCTACGGTTCATAAAAGCATCTAAGATCTATAAGTACTACTCGTGGGTCCAAAACAGTACCATGTTGATATTTTTTTTACTTCCATTTAATTTCCTAACTTTGTTTTGTTCTTTTTGTATTTCGTTTTGTATAGTTGGGTACTAATAAATATTTCACATGTCGAATGTTGCTAAAGAAAGGCCACACATACAAACGTAAATATACGTCCAAGTGTATTATACCGTTGGCTCGGCAGCCTATTGATAAGTCGAGCGGTTTTGATTTTGAGTTGGGGACCACAAAGGGCTCCCCTACGACCCCCAGATTAAATGGCAACAAGCCAGACAATTAGAGATAATCCTAGTGTAGGAGGGGGAGCAGTAATCCAGCCATGATGGTTTCTCACTGACTGAGGAGGGGCACAAAGTTTGAGAGGAAGAAGTTGGGATTCCAAATATAGCTCCAACTCAAACTTAATTGTTGCATCAACTACTGATGCTACAGAGACTGGAGAATCACATGATTCTCCCAACGCAAGAGTTGAGCTGATACACTTTTTTTCTAAGCATAATAGATAGTGTGTTCGGGGGGATGTTCCATATATTCTCAAAGGGTCTACACATGAATTACTAGCTAACGACAACCCAGCCTATTACTGTGGAGTTCTGAGTTCTCACAGGCAGCCTTAACATAGTGACAAGTATTCATGAGATGTTTAAGTGACACAGATGTGAGTGGATGACAGAAAATCCTCGGAGGTATAGCCCGAATATGGTGAGGGAGTTTTATGTTTCCTACATAACTATTTTACAAAACTCTCTGATGCCACAATTTAAGGTGCTGGATCGACCCTACCTTTGACTAGTGTTGTGTGGGGTATCCCCCTAGACATATCTTAGGCCATAATACACCATTTTATTTACAACCTTTCACATGCTTAGCCAATTAACATAGCTGAGCATGACTACCAATTGTGGGTGGTGTAGAATAGAGCTGTCGATACTCACTAAAGAGAGACCCTACTACATTTGATGTCTGAGAACATTGACGATGCGGGCTGAATGATGAGTTGGTCTATGACATGACCCTTCCTATAAAAAAGGTGACTCTTTATTTTGTAACAAAGTTCTGCTTATCTATTATGCGAGCTAGATTGTCCCCAAATTGGCAGATAACATAGTCAATTGGGATCGTGCGGTGATGCTTGCTTTGTTGATTGCGGGGCATGAGATAGATTTCTAGGAGATACTGATAGACAGATTCATGAAAGGGCTTTTTGGTAGAAAACCACATTACTATTTCTATGTCTAATCTTCGTCCTCTGTATAGAGTCTACTATTCTAGAGTGGGGATGTGACAGGTTGAATTAGGCTACCAAGACGTTCGATGTTGGTTTGATACGGGATGATGCAAACACCGCACTTTGTAACACCTCGAAAATGTAGTAGTCTAAGCTTGGGGTAACACTTGATGTCATGACCCAAAGAAGTGAGCCTAGGAAACCTGCACGTGGACCCATACGGTTCGGGAAGGGCACCACGAGTCGTGGTGTTGCTCGTAGTGGCTCATAAAAGCTAGCGAAGGGATGCTCATCTCACACAACTTCTATGATGCCTTGCGGTAGGGATCACGGGTCGTGGTGTTTCCCTTGAAGGGCTGTGTAGTGTGCTCCAAAGAGGCTTCCTAAAGTGAGACCTTCCCACAAGAAACTTTACGGCTCGTGAAGACCAGTATGGGCCGTGGGAACAGTCATGGTCAAGAATTGGGTTCAAAGGGTGAAGTGGTGGTTTTCCAAGCCATAGGTCTAAGACCACTGCAGGCACCATGGCTTGTGAGAGCCACCATGGCTCATGGAGCCTGTCATGAAGGTGGTTCAATCCACTGAAAGTTAGGGGTTTTTGGGTCTTTTCTGGTTTTAATTAAATAAAATCTATGTAGTGATACCTAAGCTTAGGACCCTTATATAAGTGATTTTAGCTTCAAAACTCACCCATTCAAGTAATTATCTCAAACTTAACAAAATAAGTGGGTTCTTCTCTAAAATATTTCTCTCTCTAGAACTTGAAGAAGAAGATAGAGGCCAAGCTAGGATCAAGGTCAAGTCTCAATTCCTCAATAATTTTTGGGCTTTAATATCAAGGTATGATAGCTTTTTATCCATGGAATCCTTTAATCCATTGATCCCCCAAGGTTCCCCAATTGAAAAGAAGAAATTTCCCAATTTGAGTTAGG